AACCGATTAGGGGGTGCTTGGTCGGGCGGAAACTCGAGTTCATAGAATCACTACTTTCTCCTTTAGCGACTGGTTCTCGACCCTGATGGATGTGTTTTCGGCTTCCAGCGCAGCCACCTTGTCCAAGTTTTGTTGCATGAGGGCGGTCAAAGCCTCCAGTCTGGCCTCGAGGCTGAGTTAACGTCGTATGGATTGTCTGCGATGGAATATTCTCCACATAGCAAGGTTCGTCCACGCGGAATGATTGCTAGAGGCCCCACGGTGGGCGCCAAACTGTAGATGTTAAATCTACTTGTGCGGAAAGGGGGGTCTGATCCTGCGAGGGTGAGGCCACTAGCGATCTGTGTACCTGCACACGTAGAAAAACAAACGCGTGAAGCGAACGGGAAACACCAGGGTGGTGTTTGCCGTAGGACTCCGACGCTCAAGTCAGCAAGGTGAAAGGCTAATATAGTGAGGGCTAGGGAACGAGAGATTATCGGAAGTCTAGTGGGGACTGTGACTACGACGATGAAGCGAAACTATCAAGTAAAGAGTTTAGGGTGTGAAGGTGTAATGTCGATGTCCTTGTGAGAAGGCTGGCCTCTACTAATAGTGGTCGTCTGGTTTCCTATCCTGGCGGGAGCAGGAGTCTAGTATGACTCGATGCAACCCTAGAAGAATCAGGGCCGTAATCAGCTGTCTTATCAGTATCGGATAGGAAGTTCATTCTGATTAGGAGAATAACTCCCAAGGGGAAGGTCATCAGGAAAGGGGAAGGCGACCGAATAGGGGATTGATCAAGAACAGGAAAATATTGAAGGGCTATGGGCTCTGGACTGCCCATGGGCCCAGGAATTGGACAGGGTTAAGAGGCGCGCCCATGTAGTTTGGACCGGCTATACCTCGTATCAAATAGGGCTAATCCGAATTGGGCCTCGCAAGACTGGGCCTGGTCATTCTTCACTAGTGATCTGTTTCCCTATTTGGGCCAAGGACGATTTTTGGCCCTAACAAAGATCAATTCTCAATCCATAACAAAAACTTTTTAGAGCAAGTTTTCAACATCATTATTTTCAAAAGTATTATACACATAAGTGTTATTTTCTTTATAAGAATATTGGGCTTGTACAATAAGTTTCTAATAATAATAAATATTCTTGCACTACGAAGATTCAGTCTGAAAAATGAAAATCATATTTATAATTACCTCCAACACTTCTAATAATTGCAGCAATAGAGTCTTGGGAAGGGATTGCTCATGCATATGCAAGAACTAAATTCATGCACTTCAATTTTATTATTTTATTTTTATTGCTTTTGAAAATCAAAGTTAATTTTCTTTATATTATATAGGAGAGAAATCAACAGAGAGAGCTATTGACTCAACTAAGGAAAAATCAGTAAATAGACAAATTATCTAGACTACGCTTTACTTAATTTTGAGATATTCAGAATAATAGAAATAGAGATAACCAAACAAACAGTCGATTGGGAAACTTTCCAAAGCGTTATTCAGTACAAACATGCACTCAATCAAGCAGAAAAATAGGGAATTTATTTTCCCTTCAAGCTCAATAAAGTACAACAACCGCAAATTTCAAAAACTGACAAATACACCCCAAATACAATTCAAGAACACAAAGATAAAAAAACATCACATTAAGCAATCGGAAACGAAACTTCTTGCACTTGCTGAAGACTTTGACAGACCCTCCAGGAAAAACGGACAGTTGAACAAAAACAAGTTACACAATAAGTAAAAAGCAGACATTAGAAAATAATAATACCCAAAAAAAAAAAAAAAAAAAACCCTATAGAAACATTTGTACACAGAAACTACAACAACGAAACATTAATCCAAAAACTACAAGAATATATTATCATCATACAGCTTGTTTTCATGTGGATTGTTATGGGCCGGTAAAACCTATAACTATGAAAATTTATTTTCAACTTTACGTTATGGGAAGCATGAATAGAAATAGAAATAAATTAATTTCTCCTTAGTGCAATAACCAGTATTGAAGGGTATTCCAACAATAACATTATAGCTAGCACATTTAAACAATTTTCCAAGCTCAATTATAACAATGAAAATAAGAAGAGAGATTTCTACACGTACCTGATCGATCATTCATTGTCCCTCGATGATGAAGCAACTTCAGGGTCAAGATGACTCTCCAAATTAAGAATGTTTAGCGGCTTCCGTCTGCAGTTTTCACTCAGGGCTGGAGATTTTTGTATCTTAAATTCTCTAAGGGAAGCGAGTGTCTCCATCCCTGGTGGCAGAGATGACAATCCTGAGCAACTCACAATCTCAAGTTTTTGAAGGGCTGTGAGACCTGCAAGCCATGCTGGTAATTCTGTGAGCTTGGGGACATTCTTCAATACGGATGTACTCTGAAGTGTTTAGCAGACCCTTGAAGTATCAATTGGGGTAAGTCCTCTAGCTCTTTCAATTCATAAATCATGAACACTTTAAGCTTCAGGCTTGAACGAAATAGAGAAGCAACAGGAACAAAATAATAATAGTAAAACAAAACAAACAGTAAACAAAGAAATTATACTCGCGATTTACCCTAGTTCACCCAATGTGGGCTACGTCCAGCCGAGTCAATATTATTGAAATATGCCTCACCTCTCTCGTTTACAATGAATGAATTGCTCTCACCTCATAACAAGAGAAAAGTATGTTTATATACTAGGTTTAAGAGATTAAACCTAGTTTTACATTGATTTTTATTTCTAAGCCCAACCCAAAAAGGAATTAATAACTTAAAAGAAATCCTACAGCGGTTATACATGGAAAAGCCCAAAACCGCCGAGTGCATCTCCGTTACCCATTAATGCTGAAGTAGTCGACAACTCCAACAAGGCTGAGATCTTCCCCTTGCAAGTCCATCTTCAGATTAAGCTTCGGACAGCTGGATATCACTAGCTTCTCCAACGTCTTCAGAAGTTTTACGTTGTCTGGCAACGTGGTCAAGCTATCACAACCTTGCAAAATCAATGTCCGGATGGTGGTGAGACTTTCCATGCCTTCACGCAAACTTTCTAGATTCTTACACTTGTATAAGTGCAGATACTGGAGAGATTTGAAACATTCAGCTCCAATTAGTGGTAGACGCTCCCACTGTATAGTTAATTCCAAATGTCTAAGGCTAATCATCTTCTGTATATTACGGGGTAAATTCTTAAGAGCTGAACAACAACGAAGTTTTAAGGTTTGCAAACGCAGAAGCTTACAAATAGTATCATAGAGTTTCTCCAAATCTGAATTCCCTGATAAGTCAAGAAATCTCAAATGTTTCAATGCAGCTACAGAATCTGGCAGCTCTTTGAATTGTAAACCGCTTAAGCATAATAGCCAGAGGCACTTAAAATTTGATATCCACTTACTGATGAAAGATTCAGCAACACGCTGAGATTGTAGACTTTGCATGATGATGGTCTGCAAGTTTTTCGAAATAGATGGAACTTTTTTATTACCATTTGCAATGCCAAGAAATGAAAAATGTCGAGCATTGCCAAGAAATCACAACTGTCGACAATTTACATCGTCAAGCAAGATTCTGAGATCTACCGTTTTGTAGTTTCTTTGTGCCATCTTCTCCACAAGATCATATATAAGATTGTGCATTTTAAATGTTAAAAATTAACCACGATCTTCAATATCCTAAAAGAAACACCTCGAAAATAATTTGTTCAAATATCGCAACCCAACATCTTCCAAATCTTCACTTTCATTTGGAAATTTAAGAAAACCATGCGCCATCCAATTACAAATCATATAATCACTGTTAAAACAAGTATTCTTGGAAATAAAGAGCAATAGGCCAAACATCTTCGCAAATGAGATGGCAAATGAGCATAACTCAATTTTAACGCTGATAGATTGTTATCTCTATCTTTTTCTAGCTCCCATTTGACACTATCTCTAATTAATTTCCACTCCGCCGGATCTGTGTTTTTATAAAGTGGGGCTCCTAAAGTTTTTAAAAATAAGGGAACACCGCCACATTTTTCCACTATTTATTTCCCAATTCCAATGAATTTTGATTCTACTTTGTCTGTTTCGGTGATGATGTGGCTTCTCATTTGCCACGGTGGAAGTTAGCTTTCTTTGTTAAAAGTCAAAACACATGGAGCGACGTCGTTTTGGCAAAACCTAATGAGTTATTTGTTAGACTATCACACTTTTACACAGCCTTCATCTCTCTCCTTTCTGTTTTGGTTTGACAGCTCTTAACCTAAGAGAAAGTTCCAGAATTGATTTCATCTTACGATTATGGAGTAATCAAAGACAAGTGGATGATGATGCTGAAGGAAGAGGCATATTTCAGATTGAAGAAAACCTAGGGTTTTCGGATTTGGGTGTGTTCTTTCCTCATTGTAATCTTTTATGTTCTGGTCTAATCTTTACTCTGTATTGTGTTGATTGATAATGGAATGCCCTATTGTGAGCCTTGGAGAGTGGATGTAGGCTGTAAAGCCAAACTACTATAATTTATGTGTCTTGATTATGCTTGATTGATTCCTTATCTTCATTTGTTATATCTCTGATTGCTGAGTTGATAAACGATTTACCGCTAAATTAGGATTAAGTAAACCCTAATTGCTAGAAATCTAATAGTTTCATCCCCAAACGCGAATTTCACAAACAACGACATAAAATCTTCCGGAGAAAGGCCTTCTAAAAGATAACTATCTTCTAAAAGATAACTATCAACAGTGCCTGTTATTGACGCAACTTGGCTACTATGCATTGTAACCACAATTTTACTTCCATTTGCTTCTTGCGTGAATAATTGTTTTAACTTGTTCCATCGATCATAATTTTCATTCCACACATCATCCAAGACGAGCAAAAATTTCTTATCAGCCAATTCGTTTAACAAGCAGTCTTCTGACTCAACGACTCCTAATTCAGACTGATCTTTACCAGTTGTAGAAGTATAGGCTTCTTTCATTATCTTAATCATATCAAAGTCCTCAGGTACACTTACCCACATTTTTAACTAGAAGTGCTCATCTATCCTTTTGTCATCATACACTAGTTTGGCAAGAGTTGTTTTTCCAATACCTCCGAATCCAACTATAGGAATTACAGACACCCTTTCAGCTTCTTTGTTTGGTTTCATCAACAATTTTATAATGTTTTCCTCATCAGTGTCTCGTCCAAAAACTTGAGGAGTACCGACAAAGGGATGGTTCATTACATTCTCTCCTGAAAAAACAAGCTTAGTGTCTGGATCTTTAACAGCTATAGATATAGACTGAATATTATCCATCTTTTCATCTAATCTTTTTCTAGTCACCTTGATTTTAAGATAATATTCGACGATATTGAGTTTGCCTACCTGTTTCGCCAGTACTTCACACTTCAATTCATCCAACAGATCCTCAGCGTCATACAACAGTTCTGAAAGCTTTTTGAGCCTGTCCTACAGCTCGTAGTTATGTAACTGTTGTGCCTCTGCCTTCATGAGTATAGCTTTCCCCTTGAACAAGATTTCTTTGGCCTTCATTATTTCTTTTAGAATCCTTGATGACAAGCCATTGTCTGAGGAAGTAAGGAAGTCTATCTCTGTCAAAATGTTAGCTGCAATCGTTGACGGAAATGATTCTGCCATGTTCTTTGAGAGGAAAGAAAAATTGGGATAACAACTTGGCTGAGAAGTGAAAAACGATGCTTCAATCTTTTGATTATGAGTAGGTTGATACAAGACAACTTGGGTTATGAGCTCAAAGGATGAAACATGGACTTCTAAAACAAAGCCCAGCAATGTTACGTAATTTAGATTTACATCCCATAAGGATTTTGTTTTGATGTGGCACTTTATATGTACACACGTAGAAGTCAACCTTTACTTTGGGTGGTCAATGTTAATAGTTAAAGACTTAAGGGGCATTTCAGTCTTTTCTGGTATCTTCGGTAAACCTAATTTCAATTAGGTTTTGCGTAGCTCATTCTCGATCATTCTCTCTTGGTTAACAGAGAGAGAAAATTGTTAGAATCTGCTTTGTTGAAAATCTGAAGGACGTTGATAGAATCAAACAGTAATGGTAGGTCTTAGCTATCCTATCTGTTTTACCTTTTGTTTATTGTATAAATCTGCCTCTAATTCTATCTATTTGATGATGTATGAGTGGTGAGAGCATCTAGGTGTATGGGTGTAAATTAGAGGGGTTTCTCTCGGGTTGTGCCTTGTGTAAAGGGGTGAGCCTAATCTCTGTAAGGTTTTCTCATTTTCTCATAGTGGATTCTTTTCTTTGCCTAGAAGAGTGGATGTAGCTAATCTTTCAGATTACCGAACCACTATAAATCTTGTGTTCTTTATTTTCTTGTCATATTTGATTATTGATTATTGCTGTAGATTTTGTGGTTGCTTGGTTTGAATACTGCCTATATATATACTTGTTCTTGATCTCATGTTACAACAAGTGGTATCAGAGCTCTATTTTCGAGCACCTAGGTCTTATTCTAGGTTGTGAGATATAGTTTACGGATTTGCAGTAGTCTAGGGTTTGACTGTATTTCACAGTTGTTTATTCCTTTAACTTAGGGTTTTCAATTTGTCTCTAGAATTGGGGCTTTTATACTCTAAGTATCTGGGAAGGTTAGAAACCTAGAAATGACTAAGTTTGAAGTAGAAAAATTTACAAGAGACAATAATTATGGGTTATGGAAAATGAAGATGAGGGCTGTCTTAGTTAAGGATGGATTGTCTGATACCTTAAAGGGTGAGGATAGCTTACCAGTGTCTTTGTCCGAGAAGGAAAAGAAAGATCTGTTAGATAAAGCTTACAGTACTTTAATTCTAGGGTTAGGAGATAAAGTCCTAAGAAAGGTTAAGAAGATGAAAACACCAACAAAAATTTGGGAAAAGTTAGATTCCCTATACTTGTCAAAGTCTTCTCCTAATAGGTTAGTAAAACAGAAAATTTTCAGTTTTAAAATGGATGAAAACAAAATATTAGGTGACAATATGAATGACTTTATGAAGCTTCACTACAATAAAAATGGCCTACGGTAACATGCAAAAAGTGTTACCGTAGGTAATTCGTAGCATTTATGAGGATGCTATGACAGCCCATGTTACTAAAAAGCAGACATTCGTAACACTTTTTGCATATTACTAATCATTTCAATAACTGTCATAAAATGTTGTTGTTAAGTATATTGTAGCACTTATTCATAGTTACGAATGATTTTTGGTAACACTGCATAAATGCTACAAAAAAAATTTCTATAACATTCTTAACCTGTTACAGTTTAGTTTTCTGTAACATTCTCAAAATGCTATAAATAAGTTTTTTGTAACATTCTTAACCTGTTACAGTTTAGTTTTCTGTAACATTCTCAAAATGCTATAAATAAGTTTTCTGTAACTTTCTTAACCTGTTACAGTTTAGTTTTCTGTAACATCTCAAATTGTTATAAATAAGGTTTTTGTAACATTCTTAACCAGTTACTGTTTAGTTTTCTGTAACATTGTTAAAATGCTACAGAAGAGTTTTTAATAACATGTTAAAAGTGCTACCAAAGTATCATTCATTGCATTTAGTAAATGTTACAAAATTATTTTTCATAACATTTTGAAAGTGTTATCAATGTGTCTGTTATAACATATATAAAATTGTTATAGTTGTTATTTAAATAATACAAATTATAAACAACGATACACTAATTTTCCAAAGAACATTTCATTGATGGTGAACCTTCATATACAAAAAGTTTACATATATGCCTAATAAATAGGCACCCAAAATCCTTTACATCCATAAAATCTAATATGCTTCATATATCATATCACATTTTGTAACATATAAACCTTTCTATACAAAAAGTTTTATATATGCCTAACAAATATGCACCTATCATTTTTACATTATAATACCTAGATGATTGGAAAATTAACTGAGCAATAGTGAATACCTTCCAATCATTCAAAAAATTCTAACAGCAAAAACCATCATGCAAACCATCTTCCATTCCAAATTGTGCTTTACCAAAAAAGTACTCTTGCATTTTCACAACCTACAAAACCATTAATACAAAAAAATCTTCAAATCCCATGTATATTCTCAAAGATGACAACACATATATATTGTAAATTCAAGAACAGATCAAGACAAAAGCACCCCAAATATTTAATGCAAAACAAAGAGGAAAAGAACATGCTTAAATCTCCAACTTCACAAGCATACTATGATAACAGTTCTAACAGAAAAACCTAAAGCCTTGTTAATGAAGTATTGTCAACATAGGCACAAAAAATGGTCATGAGAAATACATATTTTACAGTAATAAACAAGAAACAAACCTAAAGCCTCGTTAATGATATACTGTCATCATTGGCACAAATAATGGTACAAATTACAAAGTTAATCACGTTTCTCCACCAGCAAAGTCTCATTTATCAAACCCAAGGTTCACAAGCTCATCAAATTTTTGTTCTAAAGAATAAGTTATCACAAAATCATTCCTAGCCAATGAAAGCGTATAAAGGAAAAAGCTTTTCCATCTTTGGAAACCGTGGTTACTTAACTACATAGTGCAAGACGACCAAAGTTAGAAACATACAAGGAAACATAAGGATTATTGTGGCAAGAAAATTGTAGACTACAGTATGCAAAATCGCAAACTGTAGTATGCAATTTTGCATACTGCAGTTTGCAAACTACAGTCTGCAAAATTGCAAACTGCAGTCTGCAAAATTGCATACTGCAATCTGCATACTACAGTTTGCAGACTACAGTTTGCAAACTGCCTTGTTAATGAAGTATTGTCATCATAGGCACAAAAAATGGTCATGAGAAGTACATATTTTACTGTAATAAACAAGAAACAAACCTAAAGCCTCGTTAATGATATACTGTCATCATTGGCACAAACTATGGTACAAATTACAAAGTTAATCACGTTTCTCCACCAGCAAAGTCTCATTTATCAAACCCCAAGTTCACAGGCTCATCAAATTTTAGTTCTAAAGAACAATTTATCACAAAATAATTCCTAGCCAATGAAAGAGTATAAAGCAAAAAGCTTTTCCATCTTTGGAAACTGTGGTTACTTCACTACATAGTGCAAGACGACCAAAGTTAGAACCATACAAGGAAACATAAGGATTATTGTGGCAAGAAAATTGCAGATTATAGTATGCAATTTTGCAGATTGTAGTTTGCAATTTTGTAGACTGTAGTTTGCAAACTGCAGTTTGCAATTTTGCATACTGCAGTATGTAAAATTACTTACTACAGTTTGCAAACTACAGTATGTAAAATTGCAGACTGCAGTTTGCAAACTGTAGTCTAACCTTGCCCAGAATTTCTTGCATGAAGAGTAATGACATGTACTCTAAACTGTAGTCATACCTCACCAGCAGCTACACTAATGACACGAAGAGTATAACCTTGCCCAAAATTTCCTGCATCTAATAATTTAAAAGAGCAACAGTAAGTTTCTAAGTTATACCTCAACCTCAATAGGAAATAATGAAGTCCAAACCGTATTTGGACTATACAGGATATAAACAAAATACACCATTTTCGATGGGCAAAGTAATGATATTGCAATACTATAATGCAGAGTAAAAGAAAATAAAAACACAAAACAAAATATTCTCGGAAGTGCAACAATAAGTATTTGATCACACAGTTAGTCACACATTAATAAGAGGGAATTTGAATTATTTTCTCCCAGTAAATGAAGAAAAAGAGAAAAGAAGTCTCACTTGCAACATAAACCAACTTCACTAGTTACTAGACTCAAAACAAAAACGTATTAGGTACCTAAAATGGAAAATAAGTTACCTAAAATTGTTTTCGAAAAGGTAGGACAACTTTGTCAGAAGGCCAAGCAATTGTACTCCCAACATCATTTTCAACAAAAACCATTTCGGATGCAAACCTCCATAAAAACACATTAGGGACCTTGGCTATATCAATCCAAACTCTTATAGCATTAGGTCCAATAGGAACATGATGAACAAGTGCTTTTGGATCATCTAATGAGAAACGTCCTTCAGCTACTACTTCAGTAGACCCACTCCAATCAAGCAACTTGCATTTAGTTTTGTGGGGGATTGTTTTCACAATCTGTAAAACCGAATGGATACAATAAAACAATTTTCATTCTCAAATGAAACGACTAAGGGAAAACGTATACATTTATTGACACGTAAACATCTTAATATAAAAATAATCTAACTGATACATCTTCGGATTCTTCAACTGTTTGTCTTTGACCCTATAAAGTTCATGTGAGAATATAAGAAAAATACAAAGTATAATTATGAAATTAAAGAAAAGGTTTTAGTGATACTAGCCTGATGTTGATTCAAACCTAGGTTGAGCAAGTCCTTCATATGGTTCATTTCCATTTTCATCTCTGCTTGTTGTTGTGCCATTTGAGCTATAAGGCTGTCCCTTTGAGCTATTATGGAAAATTGTGTAAGAGTTACACCCCTTCCAAGTCCCCTCACATGTCCACCTTTATCAGGACCTAATACCTTTGTTATAACATTTTCTCTCAATGTTTGTAGGAGTTAGCAAACTTGAATCATTACCCATTTGTTGTAACTTTTCCTATAAATACAGATAACACAATATCAAGATTTTTCTACTTATA